AAAGAATTCAGAAAAGATTCAAATATTATTCATAGATAAACTTGATCATAAACCCACAATTCATCGGATCTCGACAAACACACCGCAAAAAGAGTTTACATCGAATAGATCTCCACAAGAGAGGGGGAGAACATTGTATTGAGATCCAAAAAGAGAGAAGAAGTCATCTAGCTAATCACTATGGACCCGTAAGTCTGTGGTAAACTACTCACAACTCATCGGAGGAGCAAGGATGGGATGTAGAAGCCCTCCGTGGTCAATTCCCCCTCCGACAGAGTGCCGGCGAAGGCTCTAAGATGGGATCTCGCGGATACAGAAGGTTACGCTGGTGGAACTTGTGTTTTGTCGTGCCCCTGAATGTTTTCGGGGTACGTAGGTATATATAGGAGGAAGAAGTACGTCGGTGGCCGCCCGGGGGGCCCGCGAGACAGGGGGCGCGCCCTACGGGGGAGGGGGGCGCGGCCTCCTATCTCGTGGGGGCCTCGGCTGCTTCTTGACTTGCACTCCAAGCTCCCCGGACCACGTTCGTTCCAAAAAACACGCTTCCGAAGGTTTCATTCTGTTTGGACTCCGTTTGATATTCCTTTTCTTCGAAATACTGAAATAGGCAAAAAAAGCAGCAATATGGGCTGGGCCTCCGATTAGTAGGTTAGTCCCAAAAATGATATAAATATGTAAAATAAAGTCCATAAACATATAAAAGGGGTAATATAATAGCATGGAACAATCAAAAATTATAGATACATTGGATAAAATGTGATACCATGTGAGTCGGGGAAAATGCACCTTGGATGCTGCTCATTGTATTGCTATGAATATATAGCTGCTACATGTACACGGCCCTTCAGCGCAGGAGAAAGAGAGAGAGAAGGGGACGTAAGATGTGAGCAGGGAGAGTGGGGATCGTGCATGGCATGCAAGCCCATGCATACGTGATCACTAACTGCTAACACAAAACACGGGGGAAGTTCATTGATTTTTTTTATTTGCATGTAATAAAGTTCATTGAGTTTATGCCTGAGTTCCGTGACTATTCTATTCGACTCAGTCGGACGCATGGTCGATGGAATTCACCAAGTTTCAGTTAAATCAGTGCACACTGAAATATTTACAATTTTGTCAAATTCCAGTACTACACTGGAATTCATATAGTTTTTGGAATGTTCTCGTAATTATCAATTATTGTATTATATTTGCTCTGAATATTTTGGCCCTCTGGCTGAAATGCAAATAAAAAAACGGATTTCCCGGATTATTGGTTGTGGCTGAAATGTAGTTCTAAATCTGAATGGAAAAACCAACTCGGAACGTATGTGGTCAACAACTCCTATTACACGCATTGTGTAGGAATTCGGCTCGCAGAAACTGACTGATGACCCACAAGTATAGGGGATCAATCGTAGTCCTTTCGATAAGTAAGTGTGTCGAACCCAACAGGGAGCAGAACAAAATGACAAGCGATTTTCAGTAAATTATTCTCTGCGAGCATTAAAATTATCGGTAAAAATAGTTGTGAGAGCAATGCCTCTGAGCGCCCCATCCGAAGCAATCAGAGCTCGAAGGCCATATAGATACGTTGGAGAAGTATCAGTGTGCGATAGTGGGGTCCATCCCACACGATTCAGAAAACCATCGGCGATGGAGGCTCCGGTCACACACTCTTAGCTAATATGCTTGTGTGCGATCGGGGGAGCTAATGCAGACATTTCATTGGACAAGTCCTTTGAGATAGTCTTGCCATCCTACACAGTAATGACAGAACAAATGTTTGTGTTGTCAGACCACATCACATAGAGCTTTCTGTATGGCCTCGTGTCTGATAGGTGGAGCGATCACGGACGCTCTGCCTTAGTTAAGTGTTTGCATTATTCAAGTATATTACACACGGTTCGGAAAAGAAAACTGCATGACATCGAGCTATTGATCACACACACTTTTACAAATAGAAACGTTTGCAACGTGTCATGACCCATTTAGCACGTTTATTAGTTCACTATTAATGCTCCCAGTATAACGAAAATTCAAATTTCATATGGAACAGTTGTTTACCACTTTCATATCAGGCACACAATTATATTTCAACATCACAGTACGACAGCTATGTCACAAAAACATAGTAGACCATATAGCTAGTTCACCTTCATAAGAATAAAGTATGTTAGGCACAATACTAGATCAATATATTCACTAATTTCCCTAATCGGCTTATGGTTGTTGGTGGATGCGTGCATGATCAGCCAAATTCGTGTTCTCCAGATCTGCTTTCAGTTTAGTAAGAGCCTGCTTTGTACTACCCAACTGGGAAAGGGCATTCTCCTTGTAGAATACCACTTCAGCAAAGTTTAATTTTAAAAATCTGAGCTCATTCCCCATCTTCCTCTTTTTCACCGTATCTTGAAATATTCTTCAGCATTCACAACTTTTTTCTCTAAGCGTATCTATATTCTCTTCCTCATACGTGCTCCAAAGCTTTGCTATGCACATCTCCGAAGACTGTGGCCACTCTTGGTGAACCCACCCCTTGTAAGAACACTTTGGTTCATCCTATAATATTTAAAACTAAATCAGCTACAAGTAGAAAGAATGGGCTAGGAACTTAGAAAATTACCAAATACATATATTGAAAAAATTAAGAAACACATTAATTATGACATATCTTCTCAAAAAGTTCAATGTGCCGATGAATTAATTGCTATTGAGGCAACCACCAAATTCAGCAACAACACAAGCTAAAATTAACTGCAACAACACTGCAAGTTCTTAGTCATGTATAATAGCAAATTGACTATTTTATGAGGAAGCTAAATATAACTGCAATAGTACAATGATATTGTTGGAATGACATCAAATTAATACTAATAGGTGTCTACATGCACAAATTCAATAACATAGAACTAATAGCACTAAGGTCTAAGGCCCTCCATTTTGTAGGCCAAAACATGTGCCAAATCAACTTTTGCTACATTTCGCACGGGTGTCCGGTACTATCGTGCCGATGCCAGAGGAAAAATTCAGGCAACCGGAGCACCTAGTTGCTCCGAGGCCCAGTTCCCGCGTGCCATAACATATTAATATTTTGCTGCTAGACTTTTTTGACGTGGAGCAAAGTTGGCTGCACAAACTTCCGAAGTGGTGTCAAATAATTTTCTCACAGCACCGCTGATGACATAGCAACATTTTTAGATACTAGGTAGAGCTATGACAATTTCTCAATGACATCCAGAATAACATAGCACAGTGACATTGTCCGAATCACATCTAACAAATGATTTCTAACAAGAAAAGTGGGGCGTAGCTGCTCTACACCTGCCAGAAACTTCCTGCCACTGTTCAAAGATTCAATAGCCACTAACTTCACGCATGAAGATTTATGCTGACAACGAGTAGGCAAGATCTTCAGCTACACTGCTCCATTCCTTGCAAGTGGTGGTCCTAGTGACCTACAAGAGGAAGAAATGTCTCAAATCAGGCACCGGGTAAAAATCCTTGATTCCAAATCATGACCCTAAGCCCACGGGGGTGAGAGAGAGGAGAGAGGCATATCCGGCTAGTGACGAAGTAGTCGTCATCGGAGCAGGAACCGCTGGAGAGGCCATTCTAGACGACACATCAAAGCATTTGCCGCAGCGTGAACCTGCCCTCATCACTAGCCCCACTAACCAAAGCATCTCCAAGATAATTCTCCCAAGTGGGAAAAACTACTCCATGGACGTCATCATCCAAACAAATATCACTTGGACCTCCGATTTACCCTGGATTAGGAGGCAACTAGGCAAGAACCGCTCCGATGACACCTTCAACAAGGTAACAATGCCCAAAGGCATCACCATTCTTGGCCCAGAAAAATAAAATCCGAGCATAGCTTTCTCCATGCATCTTGCCGCGGCCTTACAATTTGTCTTGCAACGCACTGACCGGGATTGAACCACATTAACGCCACATGCAGTGGATGAGCCACAAGTCGTGGACGTGCCACCAGGCACCAAGCGCCACGCGCTAGACGAATGCTCGCCGAGCCGGTGAACCCCCGAGTCAGACTCTGTGCACAACCCCGATTAATTGACTTGTGTTCTCTATTTGGGTCCATAAGAGGAGTGGTATTTTGTCACCGGTAACGGATCAAATTCTTTCTCAGATACCCACTCCATCCCAAAATAAGTCTCTCAAGCTTAAACAATTTTGTACTAGAGTTAGTACAAAGTTGAGACACTTATTTTGGGACGGAGGGGTAGTAATGTGGGACTAAGTTTCTCACCACTTATCAAGCATGAGTGGGACTTTAAAACATTCTACAATTATTGCTAAACTAAATGGGCCTAGCCCAATAACTGTAAAAATCCTTCACTCACTCCGGCGATATTATGTGCTCATGTACTGACATTGACCAGGGGTCGGTCGGTCAACTGCATCTAGAATTAGTACCACGTACCCCCAAAAAAACTGGAATTACTGCGTTGACGACGGGGACCAGTCTTCTAGGGGCAATATACACCGTCTTCCACTGACATTGACAAGGGGTCGGTCGATCAACTGCATCTAGAATTACCGAGTAGCACTAAAAAAACAGGAATTCCCGTGTCGACGACGGGAACCAGTCTTCTACGCGCAATATACCCCGTCTTCCACGGGCAATATACTTTTCAACTGAGGTGACCTGGGGTCGGTCCAAGTCTCTGGGCTGCTTCTTGGTTCCGCGTGATTTGAATCCGCCTAGTACTGGTTTAAGAATGCTCCAGTGTCCCAAGCATCAAACACTCACTGGCAATCGTCTCGCTAGCTTCACTTTTAAGCTGCAGCTAGCCATCTTAGTATATCAGTTCCAACTGGAAATGCGTAAGCTCAATTCTAGCTACCTTGGCCTATTGTTTTTCTTTCTACTACTCATTCGTTCTCTTCCTTAGAGAATAGAATACTCATTCATTCTTAGTTTGAAGAAATGGAACATTGTCTCTTTGCAGGAACTTAACCAGCTCGAGTATCTTCCGCGCGACCCTCCGGAGATGGCACAGATGGTACGCACCCCTCCTCTCGGACAAACACACACCCTTTTGTTTGTTTACTAATAGTTTGATTGATCATTCATTCGGCTTATATTAAGCATGCAACCAAACAGCTATATACTCTTACCTCCGTCCAAATAATTGTCTTATAGTAGTATCTGGATACTTATACCTAACACAAAAATGTGTCATGGCGTGTCTAGGTATACCCATATCTAGACAAATATAAGACAATTAATTCAGGACGAATGAGAGTATATGTTACTCCTTCCGGTCCTAAATAAGTCTTTTTAGATATTCTAATACGGACTACATATGAAGCAGATGGATGAAACTATATTCCAAAATATGTCTATATACAATCATATGTAGTCACTATTGAAATCTCTAAAAAGATTTACGGATGGAGTAGATTGCTTGTAGTACTATTGCGATGCACACAAACATGAGAAGTACTGAAACTGGTAGGATCAGTCGATTCCATAGATATATTTCTAGGTTGAACACGACGGTCTAAACGTGCCTTCTTTGAAAGAAAAAAATCTTCAAAAAAGTGGTCGTTACACTTTTCTTTGCAGGGAAAACACCTATCCCCATCTATAAAACACGTACGAGCTGCCGCTCCACCCTAATTAGGCAAAAGCAGTGGCTGCTATATGCTGTCACACGTGCCCCTATGAACGCAGGAACTCACACCCTACCTCTATAAGCACCTTCACGATACTGAGCTGCCACAACGTCATGAGATTGACAAAGTCACCACAGGCGCTCCTTCTTTGGCAGGAATGTCAGCTCCCACTGTACGAACACACCTGTGGATGTTAGACTAAATCCAAGAAAATGCGAGAACCAATGCCCATATTAGGACTTGACCTTGGAGGGCCGGTTCCACCAAAATTAATCTAACTATCTGAGCTACCCTCATTTCAGTATTTTTTTCTCATATTGGTAGTGTGCCCCACATCTTCGCCTAGTAGATCCCCATCCTTTTGGGTTTACAAGTAATTTTGGACACCACCTAATGACATTTTGACCATTAGTTCTTATTGTAAATAGTTGCACATTATGAAACCATGTCTCGATATGAGTCTTTTTTTTGAAGTTTTTGAATATTGATTGTTATTCGTGCTCCCTCTATATTACACTGTAGTGCCTATGGATTTTGTCTGAAATCAACCTTCGTAAACTTTAACCAAACTAATAAGAACAAATTTCAACATCTACAATATCAAACCACCCTCATTTGACCGTCATGAAATATATCTCCGAATTGTATCAAAGTTAGAAAGTTTGACTTTGGACAAAATCTATGTGCACAATATTGTAAAACCAAGGTGGTATATTGGTAGACAACGCTAAAAGAAAGTTTACTGCTAGATATAAATACTAAAGGGAGTTCTATTTTCGAATGTGTGGAGCAGGGTCGTCGTACTTTCCGGCATTTACATTATGAGGGTGTTGACTGAACAATCCTCCTATAATAAGTAGTCCCTCATGTTCAAAATATAAGATATATATTTGTTTGTTAACGTAGCCCTTCTACAAATAATGGCTATATTAATATAAGGTTTATATGCCATAAAATTATGATTATGAGCATCAATCTAGTAATTAGCATCAATCATGTATGACATAAACCATAATTCTTGAATACTAATTGAGTAATTCTTGATCAAAGTTTTGTGTTAATGATACAATATATGATTTTTGTTTTTGGATGGATGTAATATTAATTAATTAATTTTCAGGTTGAATTGACGAGCCGTTGCCTTGCTTTGGCGGAAGGAGTGGTCACTATGGTGTGCCCGGTGCTCCTGGCGCTGGCTATCAAGAAGATCAACTGGAAAGGCAAGGTGGAAGAGCCCGTTGTTCCAATGGCTACGCTCCTCATTGCCAGTGTGACTCTCATCACGGGGATCTACCCGTTGCTTGCATGTTGTGTCTCGAAGTTTTTCCCGAATATGCCTAAAAGATGCACCCATGTTTCCAGCAGTGTGGCTGCACACTTGTCCTCTATTTGCCTCATCCTACTCGCCTGCTTTATCTCGGGCATAATCTTGCCTCTGAAATATGTGGTCGCCATCGGCGGGGCCGTCATTCTAGTTGCCATCGGGGTTCTCTTAATCCTGCGCTCCTGTGCCAATGCATCGCAGCCGAACACGATTACTCCAAGTCCCACGGGGGAAGCAGAGGAAGTAAACAAGGAGCTGGGCACCAAGGAAGCAGAGAGAATAAACAAGGAAGCAGAGAGAATAAGAAAGGAGGCAGATGAGAGAATAGAAAAGGAGGCAGATGAGAGAAGAAAGGAGATCCACGATATACTGGACAAGACACACGAGTTCATGTCCGGTGTCACCGGAATTCTGTTCCTGGGCTTGGAAGGTTTGGCACTGGAAGGTCTCATCAGCACATGCCATGGGATACCCGATGCTGTCCGGAGACCAGTCATGTTCAGCTTCATCTTCTGCGCCATCGGTGCGTCCCTAATGTTCCTCACCATGATCTATCCTCTTACGGTAACAACAGAAAAGGCAAGCATTGTACGTATGACCTTCGGCTTTGACCTTCTCATGACTGGTGGTACCGTTGCAATACTGACCATCATTATGGAGAAACTCATGGGACATAAAGGGCTTCTGCTCTTAAGCTCCCCAGCCCTAATCTTATTTGACGTGGTGTACCGACTCGTCATCAAACCGGGAGTCGCACTGGGTACACAGCAATCACAAACGACTCTCCCAATCTCCAACGGATCCACGCCTTCTTCTCTGGGATCCCCCCTCCGCCCCACCGGCGACAAGCAACAAGATGCTAAAGCGGCGCCGCTTGGACTGACCAAGGTTACGTTTGCCGGGTTCTGGGCCATGTCGGTGACAACCATCAGCACTGGTTCCCCCAACCACTGGTTCCTGATATTTGCAGCGACAGCTATTGCTTCTGGTCTCTTTTGGAGGCTCCTCACGCACAGCAAAAATAAGGACATGGTGGAAACTGCCAATGCTGCTTCCTTCTTCACTCATTTATGCATTGCAGTTGCTACGGTCCTATTCACGGTAATGGCATGGGAGGCCGCCAATAAATTGCAAGTGAACACGTGTGCAAGCCGGCAGTGAACGAGATTCAAGTGTCACCCTCCTACTGTATGTCACAAAAATTCACGTTCAGCATATGTGGTGTTAACGCCGGAGTATCGTATTGTATATCAGGTGTTTATGGATAATAAATAAAAAGAGAATATTCCGAAAATTTACGTTTCCACTCAACAAAAAGTTACAGGTAGACTCATCTTCTGTAATATAAGTATAATATCACACATTTGGGATTTTTCTTTCTCCGCTGTTAAATCATATATAGCACCTGTGAGCAAAGAGGGGCAGCGGAAGCGAACAAAACCGCGAGTTAGTTCTTCATAGGCATTTCAGCAAAAACATTGTGTGCATGTAGGAAATCTGAATCATACACGAGAGTTGGATCCCTTTGTACTGATCTGGGTGAAAACTTGCCTTCGGCTCCTACTAAGGCCGGCGGTGGCGGTGCTATCTGCGTCGTTCCCTTCTTGAAGGCACCGCCGTGGAGAAGTTCAAGGCCACTCTCTGCTACCTCCGGGGGAAACCCCAGATCGGATGATCGGATGACGACGGCGCTCTGGTGTCGTTGCTCCCTTGGGGGCGTCATTCTTGGAGGTACACACGTGATCGAGGGACCAAACGATGGATTCTTTTGTGGAGTGATGCTTCATCCTACACACTGATGGCGACGGATCTTGACGGCGTGGCGCAGTGCAGATTCGGAGTTCGCTGTGGGAGGATGAACTCGCGCAGGAGGACGAAGCTGTCGGGCGTCGTGGTGGCGTCGATGGCAGAGAGACCTGGCACGGTACATGCAACAATACAACTCTGAAGATGGTTTGGTGGCAGGTGGTTGTGGCGGCCTCATACCCGGCAGGCGTCCTGGTTGAGGAGTGCGCCGGACTGGTAGGTGCCCCATACCCAACAGGCGTCCTGGTTGGGACCTCAGGTCTTAGATGTTTAGGGTTGGCTGTGATGTCTGTTTGGTATTCGGCCCAGACTATCTGCGCCCCTTCGGATAGGTGTAGCGACAGTTGTTACTTAGACAGTGGCTTTAGTCTTGCTGTTGTATGACTTTGTAAGGTCTTGTGAGAATAATTAATAAAATAGCCGGGGGTCATCCTCCTTTTCTAAAAAAAATGTGAACGGATCAGAGATTAGACGCCCAAAGACCCCAGAAACCCGTCTAGAACAGAGAACCCTAGCCTCCAAAAGGCATCCAGAGGGGGGATTGGTAACGAGGAGGTCGCCATCACCACCACCTCGTGCAAGGGAACGCCGGCATCAATCATCATCACCATCATCTTCACCGCCAACCATGTGACGCCCGGATAATTAAGCTACAGTGAACCAAAGCCCAAATCCCACGCCACCGCGCGCACGCGCCTCGCCGCAGGAAGGGGGAAAAAATGCCCCGCCGCCACCTTCCCTGGGGCACGCGCGGGCTCCAACGGTGGCCCCTCCGTTGGCGGTGATGCAGGGGAGTGGGGAGAGGAGAGCCCTTGCGGCAGCGGCGCTAGGTTCCCCCATACCACCCTAGCCAGGCGACGCGGGGGTCGGGACCATGTTAAATTAGCTTTTGCCAATTTTCAAAAAAAAAATGTTAGCTTATACACTAAATTAAAATCAGGAAAATAAATCCTCTTTGGTGTCTTCTTTCCTATAACAAGGAAAATTCGTAAAGGAACTCATTATGATGTACTATATGCTTAGTGCTGGACTTATGCCCACATTGGAATGTGGTGACTGCTGGACTAGGCACAATTCATGACACCCATCACCTCACAACAGTAGCAATTAGCAAGATAGCAGATGGACAAGTATCTCACTTAGAAGTATCCGGGAAGTTCCTCGTAGACAGCTATACTTCGGGGGCTTCTGAGTCTAGTATATCACTGATGAAAGTGGCATATAGTACTTCTCATAGTCAAACATGCTAAGCCACCATTAACCGTTGTGCCGTGATGTATAGTGCAAACTAGCATGCCGATGCCTTGAAGTCCTAGATAGGAAGGAGTAGCTAAGGTGATGATAGATAGTTCGGCAGCTTTATTAGTAACTCCGATAAGCTCAGTTTTAGAGCTGGTCAAGAGGCTCCAATTTGGAGAGGTTACTGCAATGTTTCTCACATCTCCAGAGTCTCCCGGTTCTGCTTTGCCGTGAGCAAAAGGTCAGATCAGCATATCATGTCGAGACAGCAGTCCTCAATGTTGCTGAAGACCTCCTGATGTCTTCCATGCTACGAGTAATCACGCAATTAATTTTCAAGGAGGCAAATAGTAAGACATCATGCAATGTTTGGGGATCAGCTAAATACGAACAATCCTACAGGAGGAAGTTGGTATAAATATAATTGGGAAAGCATCCAGATCCTCAGCTATCATCATGGAATAAATAAGGATGATGACAATAAATCAAAGGGACATATGGTGGGTGAATTGTTGGTGTCTAACCCTAAACCCTAGCAACCCTAGCTCTACCCCTCTCTCTCTTCGCCTCGCTCACTTTTTGCTCTCAAACATTAGACGAAGTTGGAAGAAGAAGATCAAAAGAATGGTGGACACAGGAGTTTTTCCGGCGCACGAACGCCTCCTTCCTTTCCTCGAGCACGAACTTGACAATGTAACCCTGTTACAACGCCACCGCGCGGCTTTATACCCCGAGCCAGCGCACCGGGCACGCACCCACGCATCCACTCGCACCCCGATCCTGTCTGCCCTCTCCTCACTCTGACTGCGCACGCGCCGCGCCAGGACGCGCGCGTCTCGCAGTAAGCTCCAACGGATTGCGCCCGATCACACCGCACGGCTCGCCAACAGAACACCCACTCACACACACCTACGGTGTACAAGTCCACGGACACACCCGTGCACTCCACACGTACGCACACACACACGTCCCGCCACGGACCCGACGTGTCGAACACGCCCAGCGCGCGCCCATACACGCGCCCGACGCGCCCAGCTCGTTGTCGCGGCTTATTTGCCCAACACACGCGCCCTAAGCCGCGGTTCAGAACAGTCCGGCGTCCTCGACGTCACCGTCCACCAGCAACGCTCGCTTGGCCGTCGGCGCCTTCCGCAGCTGACGGCAATCACGCTTGAAGTGACCGCGCTCGCCGCACTTGTAGCAGTGGCCGTGTCTTTTGCCGCCGTAGCCCGAAGCCACGCTGCGCACGTCGTCGTCCCACGCACCTCCTTGCCGCCACTCCCACACCCGCCTTTGCGCCGCTGTGTGCATGAGCTATCCGTCTGCCCGCTCGCTGTCCGCCTGCCCATGATGCCGTAGCCGCTCGTCGAACGCCTTCAGCCGACCCAATGCCTCCTCGAACGCCATCGTGCCGACGTCGCAGAACTGCTCGTTCCCGGCCACTGCCGCATACATGCGATCCGGCACTGAGTCGAGCAGCGTCTTCACGAGGGCGGCGTCCTCCAGTGTTGAGCCGAGCCCCGCGAAGTGCGCTGTGATACGTCTGCAATGTCTCTATAATTTACAAAGCATTCATGCTATTTTATTATCTGTTTTGAATGATTATGGGCTTTATTATACACTTTTATATTATTTTTGGTACTAACCTATTAACCGGAGGACCAGCCCATATTGCTGTTTTATTGCCTGTTCAGTATTTCGAAGAAAAGGAATATCAAACGGAGTCCAAATGGAATGAAACCTTCGGAAGAGTTATTTTTGGAACGGAACCAATTCCAGGAACTTGGAGTGCAAGCCAGGGGATCATCGAGGAGGCCACGAGACAGGGGGCGCGCCCACCCCCCTAGGCGCGCCCTACCCTCTCATGGGCCCCTCGAGGCTTCCCCGACTGACTTCTTTCCCCTATATAAGCCTACGTACCCTAAAAACATCGAATATCAAGATAGACGGGAGTTCCGCCGCCGCAAGCCTCTATAGCCACCAAAAACCTCTCGGGAGCCCGTTCCGGCACCTCGCCGGAGGGGGAACCCATCACCGGTGGCCATCTTCATCATCCCGGCGCTCTCCATGACGAGGAGGGAGTAGTTCACCCTCGAGGCTGAGGGTATGTACAAGTAGCTATGTGTTTGATCTCTCTCTCACTACTAGAAAAAGGGCTATAGATGGGATTGACCCTAATGGCGCACCAGACAAGCGGTGTGCCATTAGTATATACTAATGGCGCACCACCTTCTGATACGCCATTAGAGTTGAAAGTACTAATGGCGCACCTGGCCCAAGGTGCGCCATTAGTATCAAAAAAAAATTTAACTAGTGCGCCTGTCCAAACATACTAATGGCGCATCCAGACTCAGTGCGCCATTACTAGTTCTAACTAGTAATGGCGCACCTGTCGGAAAATGCGCCACTAATGTTGTTTTTTATTATATTTTTATTCCTTTTTTTGCAAAACTAGTAATGGCGCACTGTGGAACAGTGCGCCATTAGTATGTTTTTTTTTGCAAAACTACTAATTGCGCACCATCAAAAGGTGCGCCATTAGTAACCTGGATTACTAATGGCGCATTTAGAGTTGGTGCGCCATTAGTAAGTGGGCAGCAACAAGATATTTTGGACAGCCTCTCCTACCCACACTCACTTTCTCCCCACTTCATTCTCTCCACCTCCTCCTTGTCTCGGGTGCCTCCTCTTTTTCACCTCATTTCCACCATAGATTCATTCAAATTAAGTGGTTAAATTACCTTGTTTTGATAGGTAAGTAAGGGGGGAAGCTATATTTATGTTGTTCTCCCTACAACAATGTGCACATGCACTTTTTATGGCCTAGCTAGATCTATGTATGTTCGTGGTGTTGCATATGTTTGTGGTGTTGCATATGTGTTTGTGTTTGGAGGTGTACCGGTATTTGAAATGCGATAGTTGCCAAAATTTTACCGGAATGTTGATTCATTTCCGTTTCGGCGAGAATTTTGGCATTAAGCATTCTTTTTGGTCCTATTTTTAGGGAAAGTCATGCCAAATTTTTTCTTGGTTCTAAAATATTGTTTTGCTCTACCCCGCAGGTGACCATGGTCCGCACGATGACCGAAGGCATCGTGAATAGGTTTTTGAGGTCT